TTTGGATCAACGAAGCCCTTGGGTTGCTCCATATACACTTCTTCGGTCAAGTAACCATCCAAAAATGCATTAAATACATCTAACCGTTCAACACACTAATCAAATTGGACAGCAGAGCTAACAAAACCCGAATAGTAGGAGGCTTAATAACAGGGCTAAGGTGTCAGTAAAAGCAGCACCACTTTGCTGATCAAAACCTTTGGCAACTAATCTAGTTTTGTAGTGAGCAACAGAGCCATTCAGATTTTTTTTAATGTGATACACCCATTTATTGCGAACAATACTTAAGTAAAAGGCCGAGGATAGAGGGACCAAGTTCCATTAGCAATTAAAGCGTCAAACTCTTCTCCCATGGTAGACTTCTATTTTGTGGATAACATGGTTTGGGAGTAGCAGGTTGGTTTAGAAGGGAGAGTTATTGTGTCAAAGGCATGGAGAAGATGTTTGGTTGAGTAAAAAGCTTGATAATTAGGAAACAATTTTGGACGTGAAAAGCCAGTTTGAGATCTAGTGACAATAAGGGAGATAGGTGCATGTGGAACGTTAAGAGATAAAGGAGAGTCTGATGGGGCTGTGAGATTAGAAGGTGAAGAATCCAAAATGAGAGGCGATAAGTTTGGAGATGAAATGAAAGAGGATTGGATAAGGTCATGACATAAGGCTGAGTGGGGTGAAGTAGGAGTAGGTGATATGATTGGAGAGAGTGAATTCTAGGAGATCATNATACAATCCTTCTCTAGAAAACTCAATTACTCATGAGCCCTTGCCTCGACAACAAATGAATTGAAATTCTTATTCATTCTAATCCGGCTCTATCATTCATTTCAAGTCTCCTCTTCACAAATGGTTTAAGTACCCTGTTGTATCTGTAAAATCGGGATTTTCCTAGATTCAATCTATGGTTATATTCAAGTAACATGGAAATCACCCGCCATTTTTCATCGAATAATAGAATTTTCTCAAATTTAACTTTACAATTCGTCTTTGATATTGGTTACTCTTTAAGTAGGTTCTTTGCAATGTTTGATGACTTTTCGTTATGAGAACAAGCAACAACCACGTATCTCATTTCTCCATCATCCTTTTTTGAAGATGTTCTTTTAGACACAACAAAATCCATTTTCTTCCCATATGTCGTGTAATATTCCACAAGCTCATCAATTGTATCAAACAACATTCAAATTGTAGGCTCCTTTATTTTGTTGTCTCTATTTCCTATTTCCTCCATTTCATCCTCATTCTTTTCTTCATTTGACTCCATACTTATACAACCACTAGATACTTCTTCATCCATGCCTCTATAATTAGATCATCAATCAACATTCTTAAAGAATAAAATAAATAGTAATATAAGGTAATTAATTTAATTTTCTATGAGCAATATTCAATGACCAAGAGAAATAGTGTTTACAATCAATTATACACATACTCTTTCACGAGTTAAAGTATACAAATTTCTTTTTTTCAAGGCATAAGATGATTAGAATGTACCAAATCACAACTTATATTTGGATATTCTACCAATTTATCATGTGTCAATTACATAAATATAGAAAATTATCAAATACCAAACCCTACAAAACCCATTAACCTGTGTGTGCAAATTGAGAGAGATCCAATAAAAATGATATGGAATTCGTTGTTTTTTGCTATTGTATTTGGATATTCTAACAATTTATCATGTGACAATTACAGATATATATTGGAAAAAAATATCAAAAACCAAACCTTAGGAACCCCCAATTGAACTATATACGCATACCTTTCAGAGATCGAAAAAGTCCACTGCTTTTTATTAAGAGTAATTGCGTGAGGAAAATGGCAATCAAAGATCACCACCAAAAATCGAAAAAATTAGACCAATAATCTGGTCGAATGAGGTTGTTCACTGGGAAAAAAATGGTCAGATGGAAGTAAAAATATATTTTATTGTCTTACACTACAAACTAGAGAGTGTAAAGGTTTTAAAGCAAATGACGGTGTCAAAGCAATTTGACAATGTTTGAAATGGGCTGGTTTCATAAAGTTGTGGGTCTTTTTTTATTAGCTGGTCATACCCATGTCATTTTGGTGTATAATTTTGGTGCAAATTTTAGTCATCATAACATTTTTGTATCCGGAATGATTGGGAATAATATGTCTATTGGTAACTTTTTAAGTCTGCCGGCAAAATCCTTGACCCTAACTCAATCAAGAACTCTATTCCGGTGTACCAAAAAAAAAAAGAGGCAGAACACAAAAACTCATAATGTCTATCTATTGCCTTTTATTTATCATATCACATGAAGGATCCATCCAAAAGGAAAAAAAAGGTGATTTGATGTCTTCTGTGCAACATGTGATCTACGACTCCTATTTGTTCAGGCCGGTTGACGTGAACTTTGTTTCGATCCAAGTATTTAACTGCATGCATCGCTAGTTGATAAGAAAATGACTTATTCAATATTTTGTGCATAAGGATAAGGAACTTTAAATGAACTTCTTACTGAAACCCGCCATCTCATATGCCAAAGTCAACGGGTTGTTCTTTCTTTTCTGCTCCCTTACAACCGGTAGAATCAATTCCAAATATATAAACTAATAATATCCCATGTCTTTTCCAATCTTAAGTTCTAACCTTATTTTTTTATGTACTTGGCATAATATGACCCTTTTATTTACTAAACAATGACTCTAATTTTAATACAATAAAAAAATTATTATATTTTATCTTGAGAATTACAAGATCATCCTAATTAGGGGTGTTCACCTTATTCTACGGATAAAAAATATAGTCTTCCGTCTTTCTACTCGATATTTTACAAAAGAATTTTTTTTTCGCTTACCCTACCCGATTAAGTGTGGTATTCCTACCCGACTTCCTACCCAATTAATCGGGTAGGAAGTCAGGTAAACACTTTTATAACTATTAATTTTTGAATTATTTTAACAATTCAATTAAATAACATATACCAATTTAATAACACAATAAATCAATAACACTAAAATCAAAAACAACTACAATAAAATACNATATACCAATTTAATAACACAATAAATCAATAACACTAAAATCAAAAACAACTACAACAACAATTACAATAAAATACAAGAAAGCATGAACATCAATCCATCATAATTATTACACAAATACAATAACAATTATTTTAAGTTTAAACTATATGAAACACATTAAAATCATAATTGCTCCAATAGATTACCAGTTCATCACAAATTATGTAATCTACACAAAAAATAAGTCTATGTTTTCGCAACTCNGTTTAAACTATATGAAACACATTAAAATCATAATTGCTCCAATAGATCACTAGTTCATCACAAATCATGTAATCTACACAAAAAATAAGTATGTTTTCGCAACTTAAACATCAACAATAATAACAATGTTATCATATAAATTATACCATACAAATACTCTTATAATTACAAAATAAATATAAAAAAGTTAAATATATTTTTTGCAGGTAGGGTAGGATAGGAATACAGAAATTAATGGGTATTTTTGCATTCCTACCTGATTTAATTAGAAGACCAAAAATTCTTTCACATTCGTACCTGATTTTTACGATTAACCGTTCAATAGGGTAGGGTCAAAAATTACGATCAATCAAAAATTTGAATACCCCTAATTCCAATCTATCCAAAACTTATCCAGACAATGATGGCCTCGCCCAGACTAAGCCCAAAATTACAGACTAGACCCAGACCACATATGTAGACCAACAAAGGCCTAGTCACCATTTCAATTGGCCAAACCCATCTTCCTAAGAGACCCACTCATTATCAAGACACGTGGAATCTCCATTTAAGAAGAAGGAATATGTGAGGATACAGTTATCAAGGGCACATTGATAGTCTCGCGAGATCACCTCAGCAGTTATGAGATAGGGCGAGCTTTAAGGGATCACCTCGCTAATTACGAGGATAAGACGAATTTCACGACATAACCTTGCTTCCTATTACTGTTACGAGGATGACGCCTCAATCAGAGTCCCTCAAAGTCAACTTTATTTGCTTATAAATTTTTAACCCTGTCTACACATAGGGAATATCATAGACATTTCAGCANCTAGACCAACAAAGGCCTAGTCACCATTTCAATTGGCCAAACCCATCTTCCTAAGAGACCCACTCATTATCAAGACACGTGGAATCTCCATTTAAGAAGGAATTTGTGAGGATACAGTTATCAAGGGCATATTGATAGTCTCGCGAGATCACCTCAGCAGTTATGAGATAGGGCGAGCTTTAAGGGATCACCTCGCTATTACCTCGCTAATTACGAGGATAAGACGAATTTCACGACATAACCTTGCTTCCTATTACTGTTACGAGGATAGCACCTCAATGAGTCCCTCAAAGTCAACTTTATTTGCTTATAAATTTTTAACCCTGTCTACACATAGGGAATATCATAGACATCTCAGCACACTGCATTTCTTAAGTAATAAGATTTTTTGGTCACCGTCGTTATTCTCAGTAGAGTAAGTCACGTACACCGAACTACTTAATTTTTATGTTTAATTGTATTGAATTTTTTTTACTTTATTCTTAATTAATTTTATATAAACATCTTTTATAAATCATTAGTTTGGCGCTTATAACAAACAACTTAGTTTTCACTCAATTGCTTTTTCATTTTTTCTACTCTCTTTCTATTTTATGGCTATGACCACCAGGGCAATAAGACAACAAAATGATGACCAACAACATCAGAACGAGGTCCTGCCGACAAACCCTGTTGCTGAGACACTACTACTGGATAGGGTTATATATGTGCGATTTGGTCACCTGAGCAGTCCACAATTATTTCATCCAAGGTGATCGGATCGTACACGTGACAGACCAACCCTTTCACTATTCAACTTCCATTGCATTTGGTGGACCGGCGTAGCATTAGAGAATTTCTTAGTGTACGCGTAATCCAAGACTGCTCAAGGATAAGAGAACACCAGACACGTGTTACGCGGCGCAACTTAGCTTTCGTTCAAAGATGTTCCAAACGTGAGCCATTCCACCCTTTCCTTTCTCTCTCCTCGGTTTCCCTCCAATCCCTTACAGCACCTTCAAGTCTCTCTCTAGCTCGCTCGCTGTTTTTGAAGCTCTATTAGAGGTCGATACATACATATATGTATGCGTATATATCTTTATAGAGAGAGTTTTCGATCGATTGTATGTAATAAGACCTGAGGTGGGTATGAATGTGCTCGAAAGGTGAGGCATGGCGTTGTCAGGCGCTCTGCACGCCAATTTATCAGCCACCTGGCACACCTCTTCTCGCCACCAACCATCCATGGTACTCTCTTTCTCTCAATCTATATATATATATATATATATTCATGTATATGTATATATCCAAATATGAGCTCGTGTATGGAGTATTTCATTTCATTTCTTGATTAATTGCAATATATTTTGATCAAATTAAGAGCTTTTGCTAAATTAGGGGAAGCATTAAACTAATAGTAGTTAATAGTATAAACAAGGTTCTTTTTGATTCCCTTTATGAGTCTTCTTTGATGGGTTGGGTACAATTAATTTATGAATATTGCGAAAAGTAGAATTTATCAATGAAAATGGCTATTATCCAGTGCTACTAAATTGTGGTACAGACATGACCTTCAGCTGTTGGATATAATTTGATTTAAAATGTGGGTAAAGAGTTATTTGGACTTATGTTTTACGAGAAGAGTTTAATATCATATAAACAAACAAATAAATAAAGATGAACATAATAAAAGTTCATATCAAAATATGTTTAGAATAGCCTAGATTGAGGCACGCCAAAAGCGCTGTCATAAGAAGGGATACGCCCTCTCCACACAGAGTGTTCTGGCGTTTTTTTTTCAAGATACAACAATCCCAGAGAAATTACGGTGCATGCATGAACTTCTCTATTGCGAATGATCACAACCTAAGTTGCCCAGAAAGCACATAAATCATACAACAAATAGATGAATATTTTGTATGAAGAAATATAAAAAATAGTGTATCTCTTTCATCAAGAATCCTCTAAAATAAGTTGTAGTGATAGCTTTATATAGACTGATTTCAGACAGCTATTTTAGAGTCATTACCCTCAACTTCAATGCACATTAAAAATATTAATAATGTTTGATGATGACACACACACGCATATATATATATATATATATATATATATTAAACTATTTTATATATACATATATATTGCTTTATATATATACACACACATATGTAACCGTTTTTAAAGAATCCAATGAAATATAAATAATGAAAACTTAGGAAGTACGGATACGGATACAAGATATGGATACAACGATCCAACAAAACCCTAAAAAATAGGATATAGGTACTACTAGGATATGTATACAAAAACATATATCTTATAGTTGTACTATTATATAATGACTTGATAGTTATAATTTTTAAGGATTCTTTAACAACAATAAACAACATTAATAGCTTTTTATTTTCAAAAAACCTTATATTATCTCATTATAGTAAGTGAACTTGATTAATTAAAGAAATAAGAACCTACATTTAATTAGATTGTTTGCTTACAAGTATTTGTTGTTAAAATTATAGTGTAATCAACTCATTTATACTCTTTGGACATGTGGTAGTGAATAATATTTGGAAAACATCCATGTGTCTTCAAAGTCATGGATTATTGTTGATGTATTGCATTGTATGTGAATAAAGATTAAAATTAAAAATTACACATAGTTCTATACATATAGAAGTATCCGCGAAGTATCCATATATTTATTTATTTTTGGATACGTTCGGTGTGTATCCGATACGTAGCCTTGAGTATCCGACGAGTATCGTATCCAATACGATATCCGATATGGATACGTCGACCTTGACGAAATATCCGTGCTTCATAGATGAAAACATTATTGTGGTGGGGTATACATAATAATTATTCAAAACTTTTCTTTTAATATTAAATTATTCTAGCATCAGCATGACTGTAGCTATGGCTGCTTTCAAAAGCATATTCAAACCTTTCTTTGTAGTTGGTGAGCTTTGCACTTTAGAATTCAACTAAGCAATGACCCCCCCCCCCCCAATGGAGAATTTAGTTATTGGCTATTATAAATTGTCAACTGTTTAAAGAGTTGGGGAGTTTTTGTTTGATTATCTTCTTGTAGACTGCTTTTGAAGATTGGCTGATTTACATTCTTAATTTTGGAAGGTTCTGATTTCTTTTTGAATAATCTAGGTGTCTTTTATACAGCTTAAAAGCTGATTGTAGAGAACATATTTTTATCTATTTACTGCTGCATTTGGATGACAAATAGAAAATAATTTAGATTTTATACTCTTGCTTTTGTTTCTGTAACTAAATAGATGCATGATCCTTGGTGATGAAATGTATTGTGCAGTTGTGCTGTCTCAGGCTCAATCAGAAGCAGAAGAGATTAGCTTTTTTGACAGCCCACAGAAGAAAGAGTCTGTGGAAAATCAAATCTGTTGTGGATAGCAGAACGTCAAGTATCAATGACAATGGGGCAACTGAACCAGCAAGAATTCTTCTGGAGAGGTTATTTGCCCAGACACAGAAACTGGAAGAACAAATAGGCAAAAATTCTCGTCTACCTCAGGTTGCTGAATTGGGGCTGAATCTTGTTAAATTAGAGTCAGATATTGAGGCTGCTCTGGCAGCCTTGAAGAAGAAGGAAGAAGACCTACAAGATGCAGAAAGGAAGGTCTTGTTTGAGTACAATGAAATACACCAAGCAAAGGTGGAGTTGGAGCGACGGGAGGAAGAAATAGCATCAGCTTTTTCCAAGAAGGAAAAACTAGAAGAGGAGCTGATGCAGGCTAATCTCAACTTAGCTTCTCGGGCGACCGAAATTGAGGACCTAAAGCTTTGTATTAAAGACAGAGATCAGGAGATTTCTGCTGCCCGATCAGCACTGTGTTTGAAAGAAGGTGAAATGAGTAAAATGCAGAATGAATTGATAAAGAAGAGTGAAGAGGCTGCCAGCACCGACTCGAAACTCAGATCCAAGGCTCAACTATTGAACGACACAAATGAAATTGTGAAAAAGCAAGAACTTGAGCTTCAAGAGCTCCGGAAAGCATTCCAAAAGAATGAGGAAGAACTAGAAATTTCTGTAGCGATGCGGAAACTTGAAGAGGAAAAACTAAAAGTTGCTGAGACCAATTTGGAGAAGCAGGCAATGGATTGGCTTGTAGCACAAGAAGAATTGAAGAAGCTGGCAGAGGAAATATCCAAACATTCCGCAGAAGGAAATGAAACTTTTGAAGATTTCAGAAGAGTGAAGAGTCTTCTTGCTGATGTGAGGTCTGAGTTAATTTCATCTCAGAAAGCTTTAACTTCCTCTAGACAAAAAAAGGAAGATCAGGAACAGCTGCTAGAAAAGCAGCTAATAGAACTTGAAGAGCTAAAGAGAAGTGTTACATCTTACATGGCAAGTTTGAGAGATGCTCAAATAGAAGTAGAGAGTGAGAGAGTGACGCTTAGGGCTGCTGAGGCTCGAAACGAGGAGCTTGAACGGGACTTGTCCATGGAAAGGGAGCTTATTGAAGAGTTGCAGGAAAAATTAAACAACGAGGGGTCATCTCTGCAACAAGCAATTCAAGAGATGTTTTCTCTCCAGAAGGATTTAGACCAGAAAAGTATTGAATTTGGAGAAACACAAAATCTTCTTCAGGTTAAAGAGTCAGAATTGGTGGAAGCCAGATTAGAGATCATGCAGCTGAAGTCTGAGCATGCTTCTTTTCAACTTATATTGGAGGAGAAAGATTTGGAACTCGCCAATGCAATGAAGATGTTGCAGGAAGTAAACCAAGAGATAGCTGAACTAAGGGTACTTATGAACAGTAGAGAAGATCAACTTATTCAAGCAACGGCCATGCTGAAGGAGAAAGACGAATATGTTCAGACTATGCACCATGAACTCAATGACTCGAAGCTGAAATTTTCTGAAGCTGAAAGTGTGTTGGAACAAATTTTGGAGCTCACTAACAAACTGGTTATTCCTGAGAAGAATGGATATTATGATGCAATAATCCCTTTTGATGAAATGGATCAAAAGTTACAAAAATCAGATGATACATTTAAGTGGCAAAAGAAACAGCTTGAAACTGAACTTGAGTTTGCCAGAGAAAGCCTGAGGACGAAGGAAATGGAAGCTCTAGCAGCACAAAGGGCCCTCACAATCAAAAATGAGGAACTGAAAATGGTCCTTAGAAAACTAGATGCAAGGGATAAGGAACTAAAGAAGATGAAGGAAGAAATGGTCCAAGATAGTTATGGTCTGAGGAAGCTCTATGCTTTGGCACAGGAAAGAATTGGTGAAAAAAGTATTGGGGATCTGGCAATTGAGAAGCTCCAGTTGGAGGCAGCTCAACTGGAAGTTGAAACTGCAACTAGTGCACTCCATAAGCTCACTGAAATGAGTCGGAAGCTTTTGGACAAAGCTAGTTCCAGCATTGAAGCAGATTATGATATTATCACTCTGCATAATGGTGCTGGAACTGGGGTGAGTGCTGTTAACAATGAATGTTTTGGCAAAGTCAGAACAGAAGTTGCCCAGCTTTCATCTTTGACTGAGCAGCTCGTCAAAGAGGCTGGTATTGTAGCTGATGTTAACTGAAACAAGGTAATTTTTTAATCTAGTTACCAGATAAAGTAAATATCTAACTGCTAGTCTCCATAGTTGGTACATGGCTTGGGGGCATTTGTATCTTATGTTGGTGTGACCTCAAATGTAAACCCAGGTATGGTATAGTATTGTCTATTAGAGGCATTTGATTGTATTCCGTATGTAGTAATTCTTCCTTGTAGTAAGAAATCTACACACGAGATTCGATTTTTATTATATCCATCCTTTTTCTAAAAACCTGTATGATGGTACTGTAAATGTGCTCTTGCATAATTGCCCTATGAGAGGTTTGAAAAATGATTTCAAGAAACAATGACTTCAATTTTGTTTGACAGATGGTCCTGGACTAGAGGTCATTATGCTGGATTGTTATATCATATGAAATTACTGTTTTGCTATCTTTTTCATTTGCCAATTTTTTACTTTCTTTTTCCTCCTTTTTCATGCTTCTCTCTCTCTCTCTCTCTCTCTCTCTCTCTCTCTCTCTCTCTCTTTTCCCTGAATGAATGCATTTTTGTTTCTCATATGAGAAGAACAGGAAAGTGAAAGACACAAATACATAGGGTTCTTCCTTGAATTTTTTTTGATGTAAAAAGTCTTCGAAGTAATTAAGTCAAATCCTACCCTTATTACTACCCGAAAGCAAACCTACATCACTAAATTTCAGATTTTGGTCGCATTGAGTTGAATTACCGTTATGCATAAAGCTTCTAGTTAATGTTCGATGCAGAACTATGGAACTAATCTTTTATTATCATCAACTTATGGTGAGTGTAGTTCATATTATTCAAGCTAGTTTGATCAATTTAGTGAGAATGGAGACCCGAAAATGATTATTTTTAAGGTTTTTACCAAGAGTTTAGAAGAAAGTCCTCGTAGAAACTAAGAATAAGTTGATATAATGGATATTGATTTTGTGTAATGTAAAGGCCAAACATGATATTTTTCTCATCACAAGCATTAAAAAACCCCAAAGCAAACATAATCTCAATACCGAAGACCATCAATATGTCTTTGAAATCTTGATAGAAAGAGAGAGGAAGAGAAAGAACCCTATTTATATGCTTAACACACCCAATTCATATAAAGCAGACTCGGAAAATACTCCTTCCATGGTGTATGAAATTTATGTCCATTTATGTAAATTTTACCTTGACCAGTAGAGGATAAGCTCTATTTCTGCACTCCATTAATTCTCTCAAGATTTAAAATTTATAATCTTGTTTTTCCTTTTTCAATCAATACTTTTTTTTTTTTTTTTTTTGTACGTTCATTTTTACCTCTTAAGTGACAAAGGAGGTGAAAGTACTCCATTTTACTTGACCATCTTACCAATAAAGGGTTTTTCTTGAGGCGAACTTGTTTCACGAGATTGACTAAAGAAACTCCTGTATTAAAATAACTATGTAACTTAATGAAAGACTATGACAAAATATCTTTTTTTTCAATTCAAGAAATAGTGATATCCCATTGCCAAACTTTTTTCAAATGATAGTTTTTGACTCACAATCTATTTGCATGGCTCTACCACAATCCTTTTTCTCAGTTCAAATTCGAGTGTTGTCTAATCAACAAAAACCTCGAAATCTCTTATAAATATTGTATAGTGGGCATGAATTGTGGTTGGCTTATATACCAACATTGTGGATGTTGAAGTAGTTACTTTGACATCAACCATGCTCAACAAAGAACCCCTTTTAGATGTAAGAGCATGGTGCATGTCCTTTACAAGAACCCCTTATTCTATTAAATTGTATTAATAATACTCATTTCATAATAAAAAGAAGAATTAATTATTTTTTACCCTATGTAGTTTCATTAGAAATATCTTACCTCCTTGATGTTTAAAATTATGTACATTATTCTCTTATACTTATACACTAAAATGAAGTAATTGACTCCATTAATGGAATTAAAAAATTGTCATAATACCACGTTTTAAAATCAAAATTTTTGTGTGATTTACTCTTAACCATAAAACTAATAGAATGTGACAATAAATCAACACATTTCAAACAGTGAGGTTTTGATCAGAAACTGAAAATCACTTATATTTTTCTTACATGTATTTTGATTCGGAATCGATACCCTACCTATTTGTGTATTATACCATATATTATAAAAAGTATTTTACACACTTAGACAATTTTCTTTGGAGGAAAACAAAGCCCACAATATGTTTTGGACGTGTGGAGCACACTCTTCATTAACTTTAATGATAAAAATAAATATTTTATTTTGATACATAATTATAAAGGGGTAATATGCATAATTTTAATCGTTCGAAGAAGTGACCGAAGAAAGACTGGTCGGAGAGTAAGTAGTAAGTCTGTTGGTAGGTAAGGTCAAGTTGTTGAGGGTTCCAAACCTCTACAGTAAATAAAGCATAGAAAAAGGTTGCTCTATAGTTAGCTCCAATAGAAAGGTTGACGAAAAGAGGTCCTGCCGCTACTACATAGTATTCATCTCTATGGGGTGATGAATAAAACACTCGTACTCCTTTTGATCTCTCAAAAATTTCACAAAAAGGAGTACGGGTGTTTTATCAATCCTCACATGAATTGGTAAGGATTCAATTAGTCCAATACTAATTCCTTTAGATGTGTCAATCGGGCAAATACGTCCAAGTAACTAGGATGAATATCTCTTATTTGAAAACTAATAATCTGTTCTAGTAATCCTCCCGGTCCCAAATAACTCAATTTTCTCCCATGAATTATTTGTGTCAATGAATTCGTTTGATCCAAAACTTGAGATAATGGGTGTAAATCGAAAAAAAATTCATAAGTAGTTGTTAATGAAGTTGAAGTTACCAAATTCTAAGGGGAGATGCCGAAGGCAGGGCTAGTGATTAGAGTGAAGTCGTAACAAGGTAGTCATACTGGAAGATGTGGTTGGATCACTTCATTTTCAAGGAGAGCTAACGTTTGTTAGGTATTTTGATTTGACATTGCTTCACATCCAAAAAGAAGGGAGCTATCTCTAAGTGAAATTTGGAGATGAAATTCTTCTTTCGTTTCTCGACAATGAAGTAAGACCAAACTCATGAGGTTACTATTTTAGATCGGAACAAGTTGATAGGATCCCTTTTTTTTGTCCCCATGTCCCCTCGGGTTACTACATGGAGGCGAAAAAAAGAAAAGAAGTGGATGGAGTTTCTCTCACTTTTGACATAATGGGGCCCTAGTGGGAGGTTCACATGACGAACTATTAATTCAGTGGTAGAGCGTGCCACTGATAATTCCGTCGTTGTGCTTGGGCTGTGACGATTGTGAGCCACATGGATAGTTCAATGTACTCATAGACACCTGATCCTGAGATATGGATCATTTAAGACACATTAGCATGGTGTACTCTTCCTGTTCGAACCAGGGTTTAAAACCAAACTTTTCCTTAGAAGGATAAATGAAGCGATTTAGGTGAGATTCAATGTAGATCCATCCACCTTTCGATTCACTCGTGGAATCTAAGCAGTCTAGGGGAGACCACTACAACTCTTCTCTTATCGAGGATTCATAATGTCAACTACGTAAAGTACTTCTAGCTGAAACCACAAGGAGATAAAAAATAATTAATTTCAAAAAGAAGGACATCAATAAAATTAAGAAAAATATTATTTGAACTTAAAATACTGATTTAATCGATCACAACTATTGAATAGGTAATGAATTTCAATAAATCCTCAGACCCATAATTAAATCAATGATTGTGATTGATCNTCTCAAAAATTTCACAAAAAGGAGTACGGGTGTTTTATCAATCCTCACATGAATTGGTAAGGATTCAATTAGTCCAATACTAATTCCTTTAGATGTGTCAATCGGGCAAATACGTCCAAGTAACTAGGATGAATATCTCTTATTTGAAAACTAATAATCTGTTCTAGTAATCCTCCCGGTCCCAAATAACTCAATTTTCTCCCATGAATTATTTGTGTCAATGAATTCGTTTGATCCAAAACTTGAGATAATGGGTGTAAATCGAAAAAAAATTCATAAGTAGTTGTTAATGAAGTTGAAGTTACCAAATTCTAAGGGGAGATGCCGAAGGCAGGGCTAGTGATTAGAGTGAAGTCGTAACAAGGTAGTCATACTGGAAGATGTGGCTGGATCACTTCATTTTCAAGGAGAGCTAACGTTTGTTAGGTATTTTGATTTGACATTGCTTCACATCCAAAAAGAAGGGAGCTATCTCTAAGTGAAATTTGGAGATGAAATTCTTCTTTCGTTTCTCGACAATGAAGTAAGACCAAACTCATGAGGTTACTATTTTAGATCGGAACAAGTTGATAGGATCCCTTTTTTTTGTCCCCATGTCCCCTCGGGTTACTACATGGAGGCGAAAAAAAGAAAAGAAGTGGATGGAGTTTCTCTCACTTTTGACATAATGGGGCCCTAGTGGGAGGTTCACATGACGAACTATTAATTCAGTGGTAGAGCGTGCCACTGATAATTCCGTCGTTGTGCTTGGGCTGTGACGATTGTGAGCCACATGGATAGTTCAATGTACTCATAGACACCTGATCCTGAGATATGGATCATTTAAGACACATTAGCATGGTGTACTCTTCCTGTTCGAACCAGGGTTTAAAACCAAACTTTTCCTTAGAAGGATAAATGAAGCGATTTAGGTGAGATTCAATGTAGATCCATCCACCTTTCGATTCACTCGTGGAATCTAAGCAGTCTAGGGGAGACCACTACAACTCTTCTCTTATCGAGGATTCATAATGTCAACTACGTAAAGTACTTCTAGCTGAAACCACAAGGAGATAAAAAATAATTAATTTCAAAAAGAAGGACATCAATAAAATTAAGAAAAATATTATTTGAACTTAAAATGCTGATTTAATCGATCACAACTATTGAATAGGTAATGAATTTCAATAAATCCTCGGACCCATAATTAAATCAATGATTGTGATTGATAAAGTCATTATTTTAAGAAAACATAGCATTGCTCTAAGATTAATGCTTAAAGCTCTAATACAAACACCCAATCTTATTTGTCTTCTGTCTCTTACAAACCACCTCCCTCCCTCCCTCCGAAACTGGCAAGCACGTGCAACCACACATCATTATATATATATATATATATATATATATAATCTATGAAGTTATAGTTTTTTTTTTTTTTTTGATTTGATATGAAGTTATAGTTAGATGTTCAGGAATTTGTCCAACCAAAACTTGTCTTTTTTCTTAAATTTTCCCAATCGAAAGAATTTGCCTCTAGTAAGTTTCAATCTTGGAAACATTCGTGTCATTGCATATATATGCTTTAGTGGGATAGATAGATTAATCATATGCTTAACAAAGTATGATTCAAAACTTAAGTACACTCAATTAGACAACATCCAAATTCACAAGAACAAGGACACAATCTATGTGTGTACAAAATAAACTAATTAGAGAGGATAAAGCTTGACAAATTTTCCCTGGTCATGTATTAAATTCATAGAATTTTATTTTATTTTAATTTAATTATTAAATTAAGACCCTCTCCAATCACATTTTACTATGTTTCATTTGTAACCATCCCACAACTTCACACCAACCAATCACTATTTTTTTGAATTAATTAAAAAAAAAAGATTATTTTTACTATTCAGTAAATGATAGAGGGAAAGAGAAAAAAAAAATTAAAAAATATATTCTATACAGCGCACGGGTGCGCTGCTAATAAGGCTACCAAGAAGCTAAAAATGACCAAAACTAAGTATGTATTTCACAATTATAATATGCAATTCTTTCATAGAATCAGTACACATTAATCCAATTCTAGGCACACACACACAAAAGGATTGTAAGTCATTATAATCACATAAACCTTTATGTTCTCTCTCTAAATACAGAAAATTAGAGGGGGATAAAGAGTAATTAGAGAGGGAGGACCTTCTTGACAATCCCATCACTAAGAGCAGCAATCTGAGAGTCAAGAGACTTAACAGTTTCCTCCTTTTGTTTCTCCAAATTAGCCAAAGCCTCCTGCAACTCAGCCTCTACTTTCTTCCTTCCCTCCGCTAACTTCTTCTCCACCTCCACCTGTGTCTCCTTCTTCATCTTGTTCAGCGCCGCCGATATCTCCGCCCTCGCCGCCCTCATCACCGCCGTACCCTGCTCCTCCAACTGCTTCACCTCCGCCGACGTGTCCTTCACGCTCGCCAGCTTCTCCTTAATGGCCGCGTCTCTCTCGTCCATGAATTTCCCAAGTGGGGAGTAGTAAAGCTTGTCAAGTGTGAACATGAGGATCAAGAATTCGGCCATTATGATTGGGAGTGTGAGGTCGAAGTCGAAGAGGGCGGCTTTTTCGAACTCCTCCGCGAGTGAAGGTGGCGCCGCCGCAAGAGAAGTGGCGAGTATGACGGAGATGGATTTGAGGGCGGTGGGAGTGGTGGTGGGGAGGGGAAGAGAGAGAATTTTTGGGGGGTTTGGGAAGTTGGGTAGTTGTAGTTTGGGGAGAGAGAGTTTGGGTTTTGGGGTAGGGGGGAGAGTTGAGGAGGATGTGATTAGGGTTTTGGAAGAGGCCATGATCATGTTGGCCATTGGAACCTCTGCTGCTGGTACTACACTCTGTGTATGTGTGTGATTTTGGAGCTGTGGAGGAGTGGTGTGGTTTTGGGTGCGAGTGTGAGGAGGAAAGAGAGTGGAAATCTAAGAAAGGCTATCTCATTCTATGCCACACAAAATGATGAGATTGGGATGAAATTCTGAGAGGGGAAAATTACACTTTAGCCCACCCTCTTATCTATCTTTTCCAAATCACATGGCCTCATTAAATATCATGTTATTTGCATTGTATGTTTTAAGTTTTAACTATGGTTATTAGATTAACTCTATCCTTATGCTCAATGTCCATTATACATTTTGAAGGACAATTGTGTCACTTTGCCCCTCAAACTACATTATTTTGTTTAACTTTTGCCCCTACCTATGTTCTATCATAAGACGGTAAATGTTTGAAAAATTTTTATCTACATCTTCTCTAGTTAGGTAAAAATTTAATGAAACATATTTCTGATTCTGAAATTTCAATGTCATCCCTTGTCAGGCCTTCTCTGGTAATAGTGTTAAAAGCTAGGGTTGATTTACAAAAATAACTCAAAGTATTTTATACATTCTTTGAATGTATACCTATTCATTGTTGGCCCATGCACTAGGTCATTGCCTACTCCCCCCAAATAGGACAAATATTTTGGGGTCTCAAATTAAATTTTTATACAATTTTACTAGACTTAATTTTTGGATTTAATTTGAGAATGTAATGCATTTTTACCATTGAATTAGTAAGAAAATATACCATTGAAAAAGTTTACTAAAAATGAAATAACCATAATTTATTAAGTGTCAAAATTAGGTCCCTAGATTAAATATAAGTAGTAGTATTGTAAAATTTTTTGAATTTCTTACAAAAACATTTAGGGCCCTAAAGTTTGAGCTTATGTATTTTATCTTTGTTCAATGTTTATGGTATATGAAAAATATGTGTTATCACCTAATAAAATATTTTTCTATCTTATTATCAAAAAAAAAAAATTGTATACTTCATTGTCTATCAACTAATAGTTAAATATTCTAACTTTATATTTTTTTAGATTAAATTTGAGGTTACTTCAAATTTAGGATAGATTTTTACTTAATTATTTTTTTAAAGTATATAAAAATGACTATAGAATAGAGTAAGTAGAAATATTTCACTATCTGAAACTAATTATGACCATAATTGTCTTGCTAAAATTTATTAGTTAAAACATTTTGATGGTTCTCTGCAATATTAAAACATGTGTTCACATATTCTAATATCATTTAACTTACACAAATTTTAACTTTTACATTTGTTCTGAAAAAAATTCATTTTGTTAGTTAGTTTAAATTTTCATTCTCTTTATCATTTTCTTTAACATAAATTAACTTAATTATATTTGGTCAAGGATTCAAATTTTTAATTGAATTTTAATGTGTAAAACTTTAATTTAAAATTTTAATTAATATTTTTGAATCTCAAAAAAGAAAAATAAAAAATATTAAATAATTTAATTTTTGACAATTATTTATATAATTGTAAATAATATTAATAGGGCCAAATTTAAAATTTTTGCCCAAGGCCCCCAAATATGTTAAGCCGCCCATGTACCTATTTAAGTTATATTGCTAACTATGGTTTGGTTTAGTTAACCTCGCCTATTTATTAAACCTAACCCAACCCATGTTGTCTCTGTGTATTCCCATAGGTTAATCGTCTCTTGCATGAACAAAGAGAGAGAGAGAGAGAGAAAGAGAGAGAGAGAAGAGGGGAAGAAAATTGGTGAAAGCTTGGAAAATCTTTGCGANGAACATAGTTCAGGGTTTTCTAATGCATTCTCCATAGATATTGAGTAAGGGTATGGATAGACCTGAATTTTATTTTACGTTTTTTATATCTAGGGTTTAAATTTATTTTATGGATTTGGGTGTTTTGTTCATCGTTTATCCTAATTGTTCAGGTTTTCCAATGCATTATCCATAGATATTTGGGCTTATGACAGTGTTGAAATTAGGGCTTCAATTTTTTACGTTTTCTACAAATCCTTCTTGTTTCAAACATGCTACATAGATGATTTTCTTCATTTCTTGAATGTGCTATTGTGTTTGAAATTGTTGTAGAAATGGCTACTAAGTTGATTGACTTGTTCATACACTTTGATGGGCAACAGTACATGGCACAGAACGTTGACCCAGATAAATATTGCCATGTGCGCCTATTATCAGAAGTATTTATGTTGTGTTCATCAACATTGACCTTAGTGTTCAAATTATTTTGTGAATTGTCTGGTTCAAATGACAGAATGTTATTAGATGATGACAAAGATGTAATAGAGATGTTTAGTAGACACAATAATAGAAAACACATAAACATACATGTTATTCCACAAGAAATTGGAAACATTGTTGTTAATAGAAACAGTGTGGAGAATGTGGGTAGTTTGGATCATATGAGCAGTTTGGAGAATCAAAGCAATGTGGAGAGTCTGGCCAATGTGGAGCATGTAGAGAGTCTGGCCAGTGTGGAGAATCAAGGGAATGATGAAGCTGAAAATAGTGATGATGTTGATTTTGAATCTGATGATGTATATGGACAAATCAAGACACAAAGCTACTACAAGGACATTTGACATGAACAGATATGGGAGAGAGTTTGAAATACAGCCTGATGGGACAGTGCAACTAGATGTTGGTCAACTGTTTATGGATATTCATCACTTCAGGGAGATTTTGAAAGAATATGTTGTGCAAGAGGGATTTCAGCTTGTAAGGGATAAAAATGAGAAGAAAAGGATTACATGCCACTGTGGAAATGAGGGCTGCAATTGGAGAATCCATGCATCTCCACTTCCTGATTGTGTTACATATAGTATTACAACATTGAGAGGTCCACACACGTGTCAGAAACAGTTACAATACTGAGGCAACATCCAGTTGGCTTGTTAAGAAATTAAAAAATGAAATACGTAGTAATCCTGAAATGACAGTACTTGCTCTTCAAGAAACAATCAATGCTAAGTTGCACATAGAAACAAATTTGCAGAAGTGCTATAGAACAAAGAGGAAAGTACTAGATGACATTGATGGGAATCACTGAGAAGCTTATGAGAAAGTTAGGTAGTATGGAAATGAAATCATTCGAAGTAATCCGGGTAGTCTTGATGCCATAGAAACTGATGATCAAAATGCAGATGGTAAGAGGCCTTTCAAGAGGATTTTCATAGCTTTTAATGCTCTTAGCAAAGAGTTTATCACTGGATGCAGACCNCTGATGATCAAAATGCAGATGGTAAGAGGCCTTTCAAGAGGATTTTCATAGCTTTTAATGCTCTTAGCAAAGAGTTTATCACTGGATGCAGACCATTCATAGGCCTTGATGGATGCCATTTGAAAGGGCCATATGGTGGTGTTCTATTATCTGTTATTGCCCTAGATGCTAACAATGGTCTTTTTCCTATTGCATTTAGTGTAGTGGAGAGTGAGAGGTATGATAGCTGGAATTTCTTCATTGGTCATTTAGCAGAACTCATTGGACACCATGCATCTCCACTTTGTTTCATGTCTGATCAACAAAAGGTATGTACTGCTATTATTGTTTTTTTTTTGGTACTGCTATTACTATTTTTTTTTTGTACTGCTATTACTATTTTTTTTGTACTGCTATTACTACATTTTTTGTTAACTGCTATTACTACCTATGCAATGACTGGCAGTGACTTGAACATGTGTTGAAGAATAAATTCCCACATGCTAGTCATAGAAGGTGTTGTAGGCATTTATTTTGCAACTTTAAGGCAAAATATCCTGGTGTATTGCTTAGAAGGTTGTTTTGGAAAACATCTAGAGCATATAATGAAGAGGACTTCACTGAAGCTATGCTAGAGGTGAAGTCCAAGTCTCTAGATGCATACCAATGGATGAGTAGGCTGTCATCTAGTTGATGGTCTAGGCATGCATTTGATACTAGAATTAAGAGTGATCATGTGACCAATAATTTAAGTGAATCTTTCAATAGTTGGGTAGGATATTTGAGGTCAAAGTCTATTATTAACTTGTTGGATGGCATCAGGACTAAATTTATGACTAGGATTCAACAGAGGCATGAGAGGGGCAACAGTTGGGAAGGGTTAGTGACAAAAAATGTTAGGAAAAAACTTAACAAAATCATTGTTGAGTCAAGATCATGTTCTGTAGTGCATGTAGGTGGAATGCAGTATGAGATAATGGATAATGGGATACGATACATAGTGGTGCTTGATGAAAAAAAATGTGACTGTATGGCCTGGGGTATATCAAGCATACCATGTAAACATGCAGTACAAGCAANAGGCAGGTGGAATGCAGTATGAGATAATGGATAATGGGATACGATACATAGTGGTGCTTGATGAAAAAAAATTTGACTGTATGGCCTGGGGTATATCAAGCATACCATGTAAACATGCAGTACAAGCAATTGCACACAAGAGGTTGAATATTGAAGAATATTGTGATGATTTTTTTCAAGAAAGTTGTATTCTTAAAAGCTCATGACCTAATGATACACCCACTTCGAGACCAAAGAAAATGGCCACATGCAGTTGGTGATATGCTATGTCCTCCCCCTCTGGGAAGACTCCCAGGCAAACCCAAAAAAAACAGGAGGAAGGAGGCAGATGAGCCAGCATCACAAACTAGCTTTGCTAGGAAGTCTTTAAGTATGAAATGTAAAATTTGCAAAGAGTTTGGTCATAACAAGAGGACATGTCAAAGAGCTCCTGTGAGGGCAGAACAGACAACTCTTGTCAGTGCACAATAGTNAAACCCAAAAAAAAACAGGAGGAAGGAGGCAGATAAGCCAGCATCACAAACTAGCTTTGCTAGGATGTCTTTAAGTATGAAATGTAAAATTTGCAAAGAGTTTGGTCATAACAAGAGGACATGTCAAAGAGCTCCTGTGAGGGCAGAACAGACAACTCTTGTCAGTGCACAATAGTCAGCTCCTATGATGGCAGAACAGACAACTTCTTAAGCAGAATCTGGAATTGGACTAACAAATGAACAGGTAGTAATTCATTAATTTTTTAGTTACTAAGTTTACAAAAATACACAAGCTGCTAATTCACTTTTTGATACTTATTAGGTATCTGCAA